CAATTACTTAGTCTAACGAAGCAATACCAACTTCTTGGCATATATCCTAAGGGAAGAGGAGTGAACAACCGTAAATTTTGATGAACTGAGAAAACTGCTTGCTTGCTATATAATAAAAACGAAAATCAACAAGGCTCTTTCCTTTTTTGTCACTGTCTATAGTGGTAATCCATTCATACTGTAATAGACTAATTAAATCTAATTAACTTTCTAATTCACACTGGTAGTATGGAGTTTACCTGATTACTGTCTAAGCTTCTGCCCACATCAAATTCATGATGCATATTTAAACATGCAGGTAACAATGCTACGGGTTACGTATACGGGTCAGCATCCTGTAATAATTAAATAAAACCATAGTATTACCGGCTTCGATTGAACCGTAAATCAGTCCCTACCGGTATAGACGGATTATCACACTGCACAGTAGCACACTCAAACTTAGTAAGTTGAACAACTTACTATGAACTCTAGAAGACTTACAAGCTTGTCTCAAAATTGCATTTGTTGTGTTATTATGGTTCTAATTATTTTTCATCTGCCATACGACTTCGTCTTTGTTAGTGGAAGGATCAACAGTTCAAGAAGATGCTGCTTCGAATCAAATCAAACTTCAAATCTTCCCTGTGCTGCACTCCTCCGTCATTGGCCAAGTAATTTGGCTATCATGTTATTTCAGCGTGTTTTTGGAAATTTTTGGAACATATTTCCAAATAAGAAGTTTGTTGTATATAGCGCACAGTGCTTGAACATACACAAACAATGATCAGGATATATAGTTCAATAGCAATTAATCACGTGGCTACGTAAATATGAAAATGCATAAAATTACTTTTACGGTGAAGAAACTGCAGTGCATGGGCCACGTCGCGCACCACCATACTAGCTTCCAATTCTGTAAAACATATTCTTCGCTGTATGTGGTCAAGCAGCGGACCTCCGCGCATCTTCTCGAAGACCAAGTAGAAGTTATCGTCTTCGAAATACTCGATCAGCTGTACGATATTCGGATGTCCCATACACAGATGAAATGTCTGAATCTCTTTCAACACCCGCAAGCGATTTTGGTCTTTATTTATGATCTGAAACAAGGAAGAGGTCAAATATGATAACAATAAACGAAAAAAATATTAGCAAAATTCCAGCAGTATACATATTTTCTCCAGAACAACAAAAACAAAGTTATGCAAATACAATGATTTCGAATGTGAAAGGAAATCAGGGGTGAATACTGTTTAAGCAGTACATCTTCTCCACAGATTTCTCAAAACAAATTATTCCATTAGCACTCTTAAAAAATCTACTTCCAACTGCTAAAACTGGTAGATTCAGCAGATGAGGAGGTAATGCACTAACCTGTTGCTTAGCCTTTTATTCCTGTCTCTCCAACAGAATTTCTGACTTTCTTAGAACAAGTCAAACACAGAGAGCCTGTTGTCAAGTTTCAAACAAAATACGGCCTTTCCATGATGACAGAAGAAATTTCTTGTGGTCCGAAAGGCGCCTCCGACTAGATGTGCACATTTGCCATATGTGTAATCAACTGTGAAGAATAACGTAGGATATGGCATTGCGCCAATTTTTACTAGCTACTGTTTCTTTCCCTGAATCATGATGTTTTACTTGCCCTCTCCTATGCCACCTCTAAAAGCTACATAACATAAATATAACTAAAACACACAACTAAAGCATTGAAATAAACTGCAAAATAATTCTCTTGCCCCGTTAAATCTACCGGTATAAAAAGTGCAATACAACACCGTAAAACAAAACCCTTCAATGCTAACCTTCACAGCAAACTCTTCTCCTGTCAGACGACTTATACATGATTTTACTACTGCAAATGCCCCCTGGCCAAGAATTTCGTCTTTCAGTATGTAATGACCTAAATCGCGAAAATTAGGTCAATTTTATAAACAAACAGCGTGTAAACAATGCAGGTACTATTAATGCCGTTAGCACATTTAATTAAACTTCTGACAAACCTTTTTTACACGAAAAAATCTTAACGTATCATTAAAACTGAATGATCCATGATTTTTTCAGGGAAGGACATGCAGTTTTTACCCTTCGAAAGCTTCACCCTGTGGCATTCCAGATGTAAACTTTATGGCTAACTTAGTCAATGGTTCAAGCGCTGTCAAAACTAAAAATAGATTAAGGTGAACGGTGCGGTTAACAACGATTTATTCATTTAGGCCACCCGATGTGCAACATGAATGGTGTGGTAAAAATCTATG